GGTTAGAAATGCGCCAAGCAACGAGCGCTAATAGTTCGATTTGAGCGTACATGGTAGATTTAAACCATCGCGTGAATGCCAGAGAGGAGTTCCGAGTGATCTACAAGGTGCCCTCCGACTGTTCAAAATAACTTGGAGAGCGTGTGTTGGTTACAGCAGAAGCAGCTGCTATCTGGCTACGTAGACCAGGACTGTGCGCCTAAAATAACTTTGTAACAGCCCCGCAGTTATTATGGGTGAAACTCGCTAAGACAACCACACAGAGCTTATCATGGGTCTCGGAAACGGTCTCCCCCACCCCAAAAAAAAGCGCAAGTCACAAATTCAACCGCGCACACCTGATCACCTGTCTTGGCCGCCGGTCCGCGTAGACGCTGATATGTTGACCTCAATTTCCCCCTCACCAACTTTGACAACAACACCACCACCACAACCAACAACAACGACAAAAGTGGCCACTGGCAGGAAAGACGCCCAAAAATCGGCAAGCACGGCTACTCAGCGGCTCACAAGGACTGTCGCCGTAGCCTGTCGGCTGCCCCTGCATCCTATAGGACAATCTGTACTGTAGAGTGCACACTTTCGGGCAATTAACAACAAACTTGGATAAGGCAATAGGGGCACAAATGATCATTACAAATTGCCAAAGCTTTCCTTCCTAACTTATCTTGGTGAACGAAATGCTGATAATATTTTCAAGCACGATTTTAGTGTTGTTGCAGAACGACGTCATCATAAAAAGTGCAAGGGTAGAAGAAGGAAAGAGGTCCCCTCAGGATCCCAAAACTTTCTGGGTATGTGTCATTATGTCCCTTACTCTCCTATAGTTCACATGCAGAATGCAGACGGCAAGGCTATATTTGATGACCTAGATGCAGCTTTCACAAGGCGACTAAAAATGTCACTTAATAACCTGGCCAAAACAGTAAAATGGCAAAACAAGACAAGAAAAACGCACAGGCGAGTGTATGAAGCATAACTGTAGACCATATATATGGACTGTTGGTGCAGTAATTAGCTGGTGCACAACATTTTTCGTAGCTGTTCACACGAAAACTGCTTTACCCGAGAGCTTCTAGTACTTCTTACTC